CATATGTCAAGTTTAGCGCATTTCGGCGCCTGCTCCATGCTACTTAAGTGGAAGAGGCAAACTCCGATACATAAATTGCAAAGCTATGCCGTTCTGCAGCCCTTATTGCGGCTGAGTCGAAATCCAAAAAAATTCTTGGTAATTGCATCTTGAAAATGACTGAATCTAATTCGTGCCGCACTCTTGCGAAACAATTTTCATAGGTCTCCTGCGCTTTATTGCGCATATAGCACAGAATAATGGTACATGAAAAGTGTGCTAACATTTGTAGACCTCTCGACTTCCGTACTTGATTTTCATCTCATAGAATTCCTTGTATCGTACAGAGTTGAGCGCGATCGCTTATTTGGGTAAAAGTTTATAAATCATAATCTTTTTTTATAATCTTAGTCTTAAATGACAAGCAATCTGTAATTCCACATTTTTTTATCTGTCAAATGTTCTAGAGTTTTTTTCGTTAACAATTCGCATACTGGCTGATCTTTTCGGTTAGATTTACAAAGATTCATAAAAACAAAAAGATGGAGTTTTTTGTGCAGTCATTACCACTCACTGTCAATGTTTCGCTTGATAAATAGATATGATACGTCGGCGTCGATTCTTGGAACAACGCGGAACCATTGTCAAATGGTTATCTTTCGGGTATAGAATTTTAGGTCACGGCATGGGTGTCGACGGAGGCCTTTGCTCCAAAGCAACAGAAGTCTGATTGCGTTAACTTTTGCAAACATCGATCCTGAGCGTTTAGTTCAGTTCGTCTGATGGTAAGCTCTTTTTCATAAAAATGAGCCATGATCTCATTCGTCGAATTAGCTTCATTCATAGCCGAGTGCAGAGCGTTCTCCTAAATTTCTATCACAAAACTGAAGCCAATTACGGAACGCGTCTGATGTTTCGGCATGCTCCAAACATAGTTTGCCAAACAGTTTGGATGGAATAATCTATTAGTCACAAAGACATTGTTCTTGATATCCACCTCAGAAATCCGACTCGCCTTATCTCCGGACGGATTGATCACGGTACACACATGGTTCATACAGGGTCTTCAAGAATTTTGTTGTCAACTACTCAAACTTTGTAGTTTGAAGAACGTGAGCTAAAAGTCTTTCTCTAATGATCCTCTACATCTACAAACTTCAAATGGGGCACTTTTGGGGTAAAAAAAACTAGAGAACGTAAATGTAAACGGAAAATAAGACTGGTGACATAACTACATCACATTCTCCTCTTTCGGAGCATGAAAGTATATGTTGTTTTTGTGACTGGCGTTGTATAACAGAAGACCTCATTTTTTTCGTTCTAACTTCTTCGGCAATCACGGAGCAAGCGCTGTGACGCTGCGGTAGGTCTCTGCTCGACCGTTAACAAAGAATAATTAATAATGACTCAGGGTGGTTGAAAAGGACGAAAAAGATCAAGTGAAAGAGATGAGACACATTTAGCGTGCCAAAATAAAGCAACGGGTTTAGTTCGAGCCGAAAACTAAGGTATATCGTAGATTACAGAAGAGCTCATAGAGTCATCATAGGGAGCTTATAGACTTAGGATCAAGACTACAGTTTATTGAGATGCTGAGTGTGTGCCAGTTATAAGATGTTAATCTCTTGAAATTTCTTATCATAATTTATAATTACGAGCTAAGGATGTTTACGTGTTCTTCTGAGTGTGTAAGTCTGTCCAGTGACGAGTCTGGCCAGTGCAAGCCTCTGCGAAGCAAAGGTGACGCACTGGTAAATACAGGGTGTCCCAAAAAATGTGAACACTGTTTGATCGTTAATAACTCCGTTGCTTTCATGTCTTTCGCCGAGCTTGAGGCATCATTCTGTGGAGCGAGGTTCAACTTAGATTTGTGTATGGAGCGAACCATCGGTCGGTGTTCTTTATTTTAGAATTACGCTTTGAACTTCTAGCATGTGGATGTATTGTGAAATATGCCATTTGGCAAAATTCTTCAAAAAAATCTGAAAAATTGTGTACTAAGGTTTTCGCGCACGCTGATTCCATTACACAACTTTTTATAAGTGTTTTTAGCTTTTTTGACGATGTAATCACTTTTCTGACAAATGCTGGAAATTCAGTTACCACGATTTACCTGGGATAACCTTGGAAAGAAGCATCACAGTAAAGCGGAAATTTCATACTTGAAATCAGCGGCTTCCATTACCATAGTGTAAGAGTTTTTAACTTGTTTGTTTTGTTCAGAGGCATAAAATGGCCTCCAATGGCCTAAAATCCTTGTCAAAGTTCCTACCGTAATCCTACAGTAATGAAGAGCAATCGACGATTCGCTCCATACTGTAAACCTAAGTTGAGCCTCACTCTATAGAATGGTGCCTCAAGCTCGGCGAAAGACATGAAAGCAAGAAGGTTATTAACAATCAAAAAGTGTTCACATTTTTTTGGGACACCCTGTATATAAGCCGGATACGGCTCCACTTCCCACCCACCCCCCCCCTTCGAATATGTAGTCCTGATCTTAAATCTATAAGTTTCCAATTAATTTCTTGTATTCTACGATACATTTTAGTTTTGCGACTTGAACTGAATCAGTAATGCTTTGTTTTGACATGCTAGATGTGTTCCAACTCTTCCACGTTGATCTTTTCCGTCCTTATCAACCATCTAAAATCAGTGATACTCATTCTTTGTTAATGGCCGAAGATAAAGCAATCGCCGGGTCACAGCGCTTCCTCGGTGAGCGCCAAAAAAGCCAAAAAGAAAAAAACGAAGTCATCCGTTACACGATCCCCGGCACAAAAGCGGCATATATCTTCTTACTCCAACGAAGGAACAAAAATTATGAAGTGTTCGCATGTCGCGAATGTAAAAGAAGCAAACATCACATGGTCATCCGTGTAAGTATGTCATTAGTCTTATTCTCTTTTACGTTTATGTTCAAAATTGCCTCATCTGAAGTGTGTAGATGTTAAAATTGGTGTAAATATGAAAATAGATAGAAAAAACCTTTAGCCTCTCCTTTGAGCTCAAGTATTTCAGGTAGTAGACAATGAGATTCTTGATAACCCTTGTTTAAACCATGTGTGCAACGTTATCAATGCCTCCGCCGACAGGGCAAATCGGATAATGTATGAGGTAGATCTCAAGATCAATGTCTTTGTGAATAATGTTAGGGTGATACCCCAATAAATTATCCGGACAAACTGTTTAACAAAGTCTCAATGTTCCAGGCGTGCCAAAACATTCGACACGTTCCAGAATTGGCTTCTATTCCGGTAATAGAGGCTTGGGAAAATGCACTTCACTCGGCCATGAATGAACCTAACTCATCCGATGAGATCGTGGCGCATTTCTATAAAAATGGGCTCGCCACCCGAAGAAAAAGCATTGAGCGGTCAGGATAGGTCTTTGCAATACTAGATTCAATCAAACTTCTACTGCTTTAGAGCAAAGGCGTCCCATGTCACACATGCGGCTACCTGGAACTTCATACCCGAAAGATACGCATTTGAAAATGGTACCAAGTTCCTCCAAGAATTGGCGCCGACATATCACATCTACTTCTCAAGCCACACAGTGAAAGTGAGTAGTTATGACAGCACAAATATCTTTCTTGGTTGCTTTCTATGGTTCTTGGTAAACTCAGTTATTAAAGTATTCCTGTATAACCAATAGCAAAGTGGCTACTACGTAGACTTATAATGAAAAAAGACTTCAAAATAACAGACACATGAAAGAAATTGGAATTACAGATGGCGTGTCAACAAGGGCTGAAAGCACTCATTATGGATGGGATCCATAAGATTCTACCGACGGAGCTGGGCGATCACGCCTAACTCTACACGATACACGGATGCCTAGCAAACGAACATCAGGTAAGGAAGTAGAGATTGGTCTACAAATATACAAATGTTAACACATTCCTTTTCAGGTCCCACTATTTTACGCTTTGATGCGCAATAAGTCGCAGGAAAGCTACGACTTAGTCTTTGCGAGAGTGCGGCAGGAATTAGAATCTATCGATCCCAACATGCAGCCACCGAGAATTATTTTGGACTTTGAGGCAGCCGCAATAAGGGCGGCGGAAGGACAGTTTTGTAATTCATCTATCGAAGGCTGTCTCTTCCACCTGAGTCAAGCCTGGAGCAGGCGCAGAAATGCGCTAGGTTTGACGAAGTATGTAAAGGGAAGATGTTACTGCAGGGAAGTTAGGAAGTGGTACCGCACGATAAGAGGAATACCGTTCCTGCCTGAAAAATATTTACGGAGAATTCCCGGCTTATACAGACCAAGCGTCCCAGTAGGCCATCCCGCACAGGCATGTGAACAATTCCTAGACTATCTCTTCAACACGTGGATGAAGAAATCTTATCGAAAGTACTGGTGCAAATGGGGAGTATCGACCCTAAGGACGACAAATGTGGCAGAATCTTATCATAGGTTGGAAGAATTTTTGTTCTCAAAAAAAAAGGATGAAAGAACTATTTAGTAAGCTGCGAAGATTTTTTTCACGACGAAGCTCTAACTTGGAGGCTGTCTTAGAAAGGCTAAAGAAAGAAAATAAAAACGCAATGGCCAACCTCATATCTGCTGAAAAGGTAGCAATTTAAGAATTTCGAATAGATGATACAGGCGTTTGTTCCAGCTGGGTACGCCGAAGTTCCGTGAAAAAAGATACCAAATGAGAAGGGACAAAATCATGCAGCATATGGATAGATTCAAAATAACAATAGAAAACAAAGTTGTCACTACATCTCAATTAATCAGGTACTGAAAATTTTCAAATGAGACTGCTTATATTCGATGATTCTCGGTATCTACATACATTTTGAGATATTGCCGAAAAATGTCACGATTCATCAGTGAGAAGACCAACTAGGATCATCTTCGAAGAATCCCAGATTGCTTTTTATTCTCAATAAATTTGCTTGATCTACTGCTATTCAGATTCTTAAAGCTCAACTAGTATAAATAGCTTAACTGTGAGAGAAACTCGCCATTCCAGCTACTTAATCTTAATCAAGCTTATTCGCAAACCTTGTGTGGAGTGGACGATCAATGAACAAGCGAAGAACAAGCTACTGTAAAACTGTTACCGTAACGAAAGCCCAGTAATAGTTACACGTATCATTTTTCGCGATAAGTGTTGAAAATTCTTAGAACGATTGCTGGTTTGGTAAAATCAGACTCAGTGATACGCCGAAAGCCCGGATCAGCCAAGAAGTAATGCGCATTTGCTCTCTGTAATGTTGAAAGGTTATTTTAAGTTGGAAAGACTCGAGAATTGGCTCTAAAAAAGAATAAAAATTATCTTTACAGGCTCCCTCCCTCCACGGAATAAGCACGTAGGTTTCTTTTAAGATCGCTTAAATGAAATGTCGACAAATGTTGCGGAGGTTGCCGGGGAGGAGAGGGAGGGAGACAAGGAGGGGAAGACGGTGGCGTTGCAAAAATGAGATCAATCAAAGAGGAGCTGAGCTAATCGCACTTTCTGAAAGTGGACCTCATGGGTAGTGAGGTGCATAAGCGTAAGCGTCATATATTCCAATCACAACGTCAGAATGTCCTTTTTTTACGGGCAAAATGAGAAATGTTCAATCTATCTAACAGAAAACTGATTCGAATAAACGTTGCAAAACTTGTAAGGCGAAAAAATGACTTACAAATGTCCGCCGATGCGTTTGAATCTTCCTTAGTGCTTTTATGATGCTGCTGATATTATTGAGTACCAGTCGGGAATAGTATCAAAGAGAGAGTATGACGCCCATGAAGGGATTGGCTATAAACAGTTTGAATGTAAACGCCTGTACCGACCGATTTAAGACGTACAACTTTAGGAGGCTCGACTGTCTTTCCAATAATCACATAATATGCAGGCACGCGCATTCCAGATATAATGATTCCGTCATCGTCCAACTAAATCTTGCTCATTTATGCCGGATCTAACTTTGAGTTAACAGTTACCTTATCGTAAAGTGAGTGTTTCATTACTGAGCATATCTCTCGTTGGCTTTTTGATAAGCTCCTGTTAGCACCGTCCAAGTTGACTTCTTGGTCACAGTAAGAACGATAAATCACTTGAGCGATGGTTTTACAAATGGCTTCAGGGGATAACGTTGAACGAACCGATCTAAAAAGCCTCTGTCAATGGCTGATTGATTAATGATAACGGAATCCTCTTGGTTGTAGCCACTATACGAAAGAATAGCGACGATAGCATTGATGCCAGCAGGAAATTCATTGAATAGTCAAGCAAGCGTTCAAATACATCAAGAACACCTGCTTCGACGTTCTAACCTCACATATTCCATTGATCTAGTGGTAACCAGAGGTTTTTGCGGGTAATCAAGACATGTGCAAGCGTGTCCATTCGAACATGGAAATTCGTAGTATAAACACCCATAGCTAGCTTACCCATAGCACCCTGAAAAGTAGTGGTTTACTTGTGATAATTTATAGGAGGAACAGGAAATCTGATGCCTGGTACTTACTTGGTACGTATTTCTCGGACTTTGATTATGATCCGGAAATGGGATGATTGAGGCGCAGACTCCAAGTATCATTGCTTGATGTCTCGCAGTGGGTATATGTGTCACAGCAGGCGCCTGCTTTTAGATCTCCAGGGATCATGACCAACATGACCGTTTCTGAAATAGATTTTTCTTCTATATAATCGAGACAAAGATGCTAACACTTACCTTCTTCCATAGTGCCAATAAGCTCTACCACACCGCTTCCCATAAAGTCCGACCAACTGTCATTACTGTCAGATTCGCGCTCCTGGAAATACTTTTTTGTAAGAACAAGACATTTAAAAAAGAAATTAGGGACAAGAACCTTGAGCTTATCAGTGTCGTTTTTTCAATGCGAACTTCTGCTTTTCGACAATAAAAGGAGGTCGATATACGCGAGGAGTTTGGAGGAGTTTGAACAATTTTTGAACAACATAGAAAAAGAGTGCTTTTTGATCACTCTAGCAACTCATTAACGTCTTTTGATCAGTGATTGTTTTCACAGTCGAAAGCGGTGACGAAGTAACTGGTGGGTGTGCCCCGCTTGCTCTTGCCTTACTCTAGCCTCTAAAAAATTCATCAATTCCCTCACAGAGTGTTGTGGCTCATAGAACAATCATTAACAGCAATACTCTTTGGCATCAAAATTCTGTATGCATGATGATTGTTACATGAAACTGAATTTGTGCTAAGCTAGCCCGTCTACATATTTTTGATGATGGCACAACTCGCCTGATTTCCCTAGCAAGAGTTGTGAAGAATTTCCAAGAACATATCTTCTAGATTATGGCTATCTTACCAAAAAGAAATTTTACTGAGATTCGATATTTATCAGAAAAAGAACACTTCTTGATGGTACTAACGACGCACCAAACGCGAAAATCTCTCAAAAGGGCTGCTTCGAACACAAAGCAACAAAAAACGGACCGAACTTATGCAGTAACGTAGTAAATGGCCTCTCAGTATTAGTGTCACACAGGCTTCCTACTCAATACGTCGTCTTTCCATTAACGCAGATTCGCACAGTAACCTAGTAGTTATGGCTCACCTCAAAAAGTTCTTTGTCGTTTCTACCAGAAATCTCAGACTTCTCTCTTTTTGGATTGACAAATGCTTTGCGAATCGCGGGGCCAAGATCGTCACCTCGGAAATAGGACCGCAGAATAGAAGAAGAAGAGCTTAGAGAAAGCACCTTAGTCATTCTTTCCAACCTAAGAGATAAAATCTGTTAGATGATCCCACAGAAAAATCCGAGAAGATGAACGAAATTCAAATAAACCTGACGTAACGTTCCAAAGGTATCCTGTACGCCGTAATGTTGTCTTTTTGCGCCGCAGAAACGCTGCTTGACCATGGTTGGTAGTCGTTACTCGCACACAGGACTACAGCTCTGACGTTTGAAGGGAACCTCGGGCAAGAATTGTTTTGCACGCCATGATATGTACATGATCTCTGCGAAAATAATCAAATCAAATCATGAAAGTCATACACAAAGAATTCTACAACTTACCGGCAGGGTCTACATAGCAGGCATCAGCAACTGATTTGGTAGTCAGACTGGGAGCGAAAATGTGCGGAGAGAACTCAGCCTTCGCGGAAGGAGGTCCATAGTGGAAGAACCAGTGCCTAAAAACATGTTCATTGAAAAGATGATGCCGAGATCGGGTTGAAATTGGCAAGGGTCAAAAAATGAGAAATTCTTTGGGGTTAAGCCATAAATTACTCGGTTTCCCGTTTTACCCATGAAGAGCAGTAACAGAGGTAGCAGCGACGATGTATGAGCCGAACCCTTAGGCTTCGGCCCTACTTTACAGTGTTACCAATTTACCTGTACCAGTGTTACCAGAGTTACTGATGTTGTAGAACTGTTACCTCATACCGATAACACTGGTAAAAACAGTATAGGCCGTCCGCGCACGGCGCGGAGAGCGCGCAAGGTGTGTACTCCTCTTTCCTCGTGCACTCTCGCCGCCTGTTTTTCTCTGCGCTTCTTCCACTCGTGAACTGCCTTCAATGTAAGCAACAGCGTTGCTCTCCATGCGCAGCGCGGACGGCCTATAACACTGGTAACATAAGACTGGTACCACTGGTAACAAGGGTAACAGGATAACACTTCTTACACATCATTAATAAAGTATGGCCAAATCTAATTTGGAATGGAAGAAAGAAAGCATTGGGTGTGACAGCGATTGACAACGAGTTCATTTTCAGAGAGCTTGTGTCCGCGATCTTTTTCAGATTGTATGTGTGATAAATTCGTAAATTTAGAAAACGATAACAAATTGATTAAACTATACAACAGGTACCTCTTCACAATTTCTGCGAGGCGACTATCTAGACGAAAGTTTGCTAGAGTGATATCGAATGGCAGTCGCGAAGTCCAGTTACTATCGTGTAACGTTTGAATCTGCCTGGAGATAATCTACGTATGGGAATATAGACTTCACAGCGTACTTAGCAAAAGAGCTCTGGATAACGACGCTAAACTTTGCCAGAAAGCGGCAGTCAACCACAAGTTTTGGTAAATTTTCGTCGTTTCTCTTCATTGTGAGTAACCGGCTGCCATACATGCGGTCGATTGTTCCTGCAGAAAAAAATTTGGATATGAGTATGCATAGAGAGGACTTACTCACTAGGAAAATCCTGTCCACGTAATTCTAAAAGACTAACGAAATCCGGAGCATCAACCATTTCACCACGTTCCTCTTTCTGCTTGTTTAAGACTGATATCTAAAAGTTTTAATCAAGTCGTTTTCAGTTTCAATTTTCAAGTTTCAATCAATCAACTCGCCACCAAACTGATTTCAGTTCGTGATGAACAAGTTCCTTTTGAAACAAACATCACACAAAACAAAAGTTGAACAGAAAAATTTCTGGGTGACAGATAATTGATTCGAGATTATCCAAAACCACATAAAATTATCTTTGAAACGATTTGTGAGACTCACAATTTCATGATTTCTTCGGCTTTCATGACCTCCGTCCAATTTTTTCGTTCACTTATTCTTCTGGCAGAATTGTGAGACGTCTTCTAGCCAAATTATGAGAAGGAAGAAGAAGACTTCTGCAAATATAAGGTTCTGAAAGAAAACGAAAAGAAAACAACCCTGTAAACAATATAGTAGATGAAGATATCTTTTGTTCACTGAAAAACCAATGTGGGATGAAAAAGGCGTCAACAATAGAATAGTTAAGGTTCATGAAAGAAAACGAAAAAAACGATGCTTTTATCGGTCATATCTTCGATATGGTTTTGAAGACCAAGAAAGTAGATCTTGACAAATCGAAGTTTGGTCTGAGACTCTTCACCAAAAAAGGTAAAGTCAAAGAAACAATTTCAAATGTAAGTAGAATCAAGGATGTCCACAAACGACAACATTCGAGCGCTAGTAGTTGACATATTGCAACACAATTTCAAATTCGTTTACGAAAAGCGCGCGCAGCCGGAAAACTCGTCCGTTTGTCCTGACGAAAACATGCGCGGCGGGGCGGCGATCGTGCGCGGTGTGAGTCATGACGCGTGGCCTGTCTAAACTGCTCTATCGTCTCCTGAACGCATCCTTTAAAATGTGGTTAGTGTTGGCGACAACGAGGGTAACTTACATGCCTCGTTGCAAGAATATCTTCTTGTGCCTCTGGTGCTTCCTGGCCATGGCGGAAGCGGTTTTGTGCAGCTGCGGAACTAAGCGTTGCAGTAATACGGGCTTGACTTCTCTGGGCAGTGTGCATCTGCAAAATGGGAATGGAAATAACTGTGGGCTCATCCATCTCACTTTGCAAAAAGGCAATAATACTGACTTCCTGCACTAGATTTTCGACTCTGTCATCGGAACGTGTCTGGCGTGTTTGGAGACGACCCCGATAGCGTTCGCGCATTTCGGCAAGACGTCGATTTCGGACCTCTGGAGCCTCCTGGCTGCGGCGGACACGGTTGCATTCAAATGCGGAAGTGCGCCTCGCAGTAATACGTGCTCAAATCCTCTCCGCAATGTGCACCTGCGAAATAGGAGTGGGGGTTGGTGTTGTCTCGTCCGTTTTAAGCTGTTGGAAGACACTAACATTGTTTGCGCTGTTATCGCCTATCTCACCGTATTGTGGTGCTTTGTGAGTGCATTCGCACGATGTTCAGGCTGTCCTACCGTCTTCTGAACGCGTCCGTTGAGATCTTGTTGTATCGACAATCAAGGTAACTTACATGAATCGCAGCAAGATTCTTCTTGCGCCCCTGGTGCCTCATGGCTATGGCGAAAGTGGTCATGAGCAAGTGCCGAATGCGCTGACGCAGTATTGGCTCCGGTCCACTGAGACCTCGGCAGTGAGGTGTACATAGCAGATGTAGTCGACAAGGTAGAAGAGTGACATTATGAATGATAACGAACCCGCGGTTTGTTTTTATGGCTTATCGACTTTCACATGCAAAACCAAGATCACAACATGCGGTCATCTTGGTTCGGCTTAGACAATCAATGAAGATAAATAAGATAGAAGACATCGAGGATAGTTGATTCCTAGGCAACCTTGAACTTTTCTCGCGCATCGACATTATGGCTGACAAAACGCTCCCATGTAAAAGATTCTCCATTTCTAAGAAACTGGTATTCTTGTTTTTTTTGCAGATGGAGTCAGATGAGATTCGTCGCAGATGGTTGACGCATACTCGTCACTAGTTGGTGATCCAACCCACGTTGGGCTGAACGACAACAGCCTGGCAAAAGGACCTCAGAGCCAGCTCAAGATACGATTCGGCTTGCTTAGGCAAAAGCAGCCACTGAGCGTGTCCCGCGCTACTTTGTCTTCCGTGAACATCTCATGAGAGTATTACGATTGTGAGAGGCTAGACGCATAAATAATGCACATATGAAATAGTTTTGAAACCTCTCAAATCTTCATTAAATCATAATTAAGGCATTTTACCGTAGCTTCAAGTCCCTAGTTTTGGTACTTGATAGAATCACGAAAGATAAAAAGAGAGCGCCTATTTTGGTGCATTTGTCTAGAAATGTAGGCATCTTGGTGAATTTCCGAATTGATCAAGATCTGCTGGCTCAAGTCACATAAATCTACTGCCATCTCCTCTGTGGCCGCATCGTCCAAACATGTAAATGATGAACTGTATTCCTTTATATCTGGTAAAATTAGACTAACAGTAGCTGATAAGACATTTTCTTTGAGAGCAATAGTCATTCTAAAACAAAAAAAAATTTCTAATCAAAAGCTGCAAAAAATCAACAAATCGATATGGGCAAGCCTTGTGTCCCAAACAAAATGGCTTATTGAAGGCACCGTCCACCCTAAGTTGAGGCTGTTGAGCTTTTGGCAGCATATAATAGTAGCGCCCTCTATCAAGCCAATGCCCAAGTCGCGGCGGAAAATGCCGCTTCGGAAGCGAGAAAATCGTTCCAGAGTAGCGAAAACGCACGTGGACCCCCACGTGCATTTTGCCCGCCATCCCCATCGATGCCCGCCCACCAGCCAATCACCGCTCCGGAAAGCCGGCCTGTGGGTTCTCCGGAACGGGAATTTTTGGGGTTTTCGCGGATTCTCGACTTCATATTCGGAATCAGGAGCATGAGAAGGCCCAGAAACGACAAAAACCTGGAAGTCGAGAATCTGGGTGGACGGTGCCTTTGAAGGCAGCTCCAGGCAAAAAGTCGATTTTGAGATTTTGTGTTCACCCAGGCCTATTCGCTATGCTGAATCCAAAAACCAACACTGAAGTGCGCTAAAATGATGAAAAAGGGCCCTAATGCAGGCGGGAAATTGCAGGTGGGAGGGGCTGTTCACACTGTGACGTCACTCTCCCAGCTTCAGGAGCGATCTTCTCGGTTCCGATTTTATGTCACTCATTTCGCAGTCGGCTAGTGGCGATTTTAGGGCTACTAGCGGAACCGAGAAGATTGCTCCTAAAGCTGGGACAGTGACGTCACAGTGTGAACAGCCCCGCCCACCTGCAATTTCCCGCCTGCATTAGGGCCCTTTTTCATCATTTTCGCGCACTCCAGTGTTGAATTTCGGATTCAGCATAGCGAATAGGCCTGCCTGAGCACGAAATCTCAAAATCAACTTTTTGCCCGGACACTGCCTTTAACACATGCCACACCCTGTTACGTATGCAAAATTTGGTTCAGATTCCATTACTCCTTCTGTCCTTTTCGGGCGAACATAAAAAAATTTCTAGGTCAGAACTGGAAAAAAATCAATAAATCGATAGAGGCAATCCATGTGTCCCAAACAAAATGGCTTATTAACACCCGCCCCACACTATGCATTACGTGTGCCAAATTTGGCTCAGATTCCATTACTCCGTCTATTCTTTTTGAGCGAACTTAAAGAATTTTTCAAGCAAAAACAGCAACAAATCAATAAATCGATAGAAGCAGTTGGTGGGTCTTGTTTAAAATGGCTTATCAACACATGCCCCACCCCATGCATTTTGTGTGCCAATTTGGCTCAGATTCCGTTACTCCTTCCATCCTTTTTGGGTGAAGATACAAAAAGTGGCTTAGCCAAATATTATATCAGGTTGTCCCATAAGTTCGGTCCGTTTTGAATTTCAATCGCAATAAATCATGAACATCTTGTTTCTAGGTAGATTCCAAGATACTGTTTGATAGAGCAAAGCAAGCTCTACAAGATGGCTACCTTGCTTTTGCATTATTTGTGGTGCTTCTCGAGTTTCAAACCGAAAACTAGTAAGATCCAACTGCCTTAAAAATCGAAAGAATCGCAACTCCTTTAAAAAAACCCCCCCAGAGAAATTCTAACTTGCTCATGTAACACTATCCATCTAAAACATTTATATACGCCGTTGCCGTATTTATTTTTTCCTCTGTTAGAAATCAAGAAAACGAAAATTTTCATGTTTTTGCCCAAGTGATGCTCTGCTGTCACTACATAGATCATTGTACACTACTAGCCTGTAGAAGTACAAATGTAAATTTTGAGCTCTCTACAAGCAATAGTTTCCGAGAAATATGGATTTTAGCGTAAGGCACTTAACTAAAACAAGCTATTAGGTCGTTTCATAAATTCGTAGACTTTTTATTTCAGTACCCATTTTTTGATGAAGCGGTTGGTTTACGGCAAGGTACCTGTACTGTTCGAAAGAGCTAATCACGCTCTACAAGAAATGCTGTTCGTCTCCGGAGCAAACCTAAATCGCTTTGTTCTATGGCCTTTCAAAGCAAAGTTTTTTGAGGGGCAAAAACTGGTGTTTGCGGCACCTGCAGCTTTCGATTTATATATGAAAATCATAAGTGGAAATTTTCGTCCAAAATTGTTATAAGTGATGAAAAACAACTGTCTACGGGACTATGGTGCATATAAAAGTAGTCTATTCATCCAAAGAGACATTATGGAGAAGGATAGAGCGCACTTCTACCATATGTGTAGATGTACTGCGTTTGGTCCAGTTTAGAGAATTCCCTACTCCAAAAAAAATTGGTAAAGCGTCAAATGTTGGTTAGAGCTTATATTCATACATCTACACCACTTAGAAGAACCCATCCGTTCGTCAAGGCCCGATAGGAGGACCGACACATTCTGTCGTTAAACAGCGCGAAAGTCTTAAGCGGCAGCAGCCAAAGACAGCACCCAAGGAAGCCCTGTTTACACAGTTCTTAGCATATTGGCGTGCTAAAAATTTATCAGTATACTAGTCTTGCTTGCTACTATTCATTCCGCTCACACACGAGGATAAAATTTTGCAGGATATGGACCAAATATGGAAAACGCAGTTGCCGCAATCGCCAGTTTGTGCCCCTCAAAAAACTTTGCTTTGAAAGGCCATAAAACAAAGGGATTTAGGTTTGCTCCGGAAACGAACAGCATTTCTTGTAGAGCATGATTAGCTCTTTCGAATGGTACAGGTACGTTGCCGTAAACCAACCGCTTCATCAAAAAATGGGTATGAAATAAAAAGTCTACGAACTTATGAAACGACCTAATATATACCAT